CAAGTACCCGATAGCTGCTCATGATTGAAGTTACTAAAACATATTTCAAAGGCTGTTATATCTAAGCAGTTAAAGATCAAGTTTATTGTTTTTTCAGCAACTCCAAAAGGCTTTTGTTTTTTAATACAGGTATATGTATTTCTAGGCAAGAATATAGGGGTTTGACATTTGCCTGTCTTTTTGAAGAGTTTCCATTTCTGTGGCTAACTTTTCCCTAGGAATGTGTTTTTAAATCTGGTTTTTATAATGTAGTATACAAAATCTTTATTGTTCCATACTTGTTTCCATGAAATATTGAGGACATGCAGTTTTATTTTTAGTCTGTGACTCGGTGTTGGTGAAATTCTTTTGTATTTTTTCCTACATTGTGAACATTTCCATATTATTTGTCATCAACAATTGTGTTCCTAATGGCCTGTTGTGACTTTGTGACCTTTGTTTCAGAGAAAATGCTTTCCAGATTGAATTCATGATATTTTGAGGGAAAAGTTTTCAACTTTGTAAGAGTTGTAAAATCATGAGTGGCTCTTCCCCACACTGCATGTTAGTAAGAGAACCAACACATTCTTCTTGTAACTTAAGTATTTGTCCATGGTTTTATTATCACAAATCTTCTTGGGATTTGGTACCTTACTTTGATTATACCTCCAGTGAGCTGTTTAATGCATTTTTTTGGTCTTCAAACAATTAGGTATTTTTAAATTTAATTGGAAATAAATTATGCTTTCAAAATATAACCAAATTTAAATATAACAAGTTAAAAACAAATTATTGGGGCGCCTGGGTAGCTCAGTGGGTTAAAACCTCTGCCTTTAGCTCAGGTCATGATCCCAGGGTCCTGGGATGAAGCCCCGCATCGGCGGCGGGGCGGGGGGGGGGGGGGGTCTCTGCTCAGCAGGGAGCCTGCTTCCCTTCCTCTCTTTCTCTCTACCTGCCTCTTTGTCTACTTGTGAACTGTCTGTCAAAAAAAAAAAAAAAAAAAAAAAAGCTTTAAAAATAAATAAATAAATAAATAAGTAGTTACCTAAATATTAGCAATATTTCTATTCCTGCTAAAATCACAGAGACAAATGGGTTTGACATGTAACTCACTTGTTACTCAAGGACAATTATTACTTGTGTTTTCATGAAGGAGAGTCCTTTAAGATATCAAAGGATAATAAATAAGATTTTAACATAGTATTTTTCCATTAGTGTTCCCCCAGATAAGACTCTCCATTTGGTAGGTGAACCAAATCAGCAGTAGTACTATTCATTAATCATTACAATAGCCCACCAAAAGAAGATGTGTCTTTCTGGGTGTACAAACACATGTACTCTCCTCCCATTCCTGCCATCATATGCCCTTTCTAACACACAACCACAGATTCCCACCATGCTTTTTTTTTTTTAAATTCATTCATTTTGTCTTTTGTTTTGAAATATTTTCAGATTTACATAGGAGTTGAAAATCCCTTCACCCAGAGACTCCATTCATGTTTCACTATCTCAGTGTGTTTTATAGCAAAAGGCTCCAGTCCTGGAACGTGCTTTGCATTTATTAGTTATGTCATCTCCACCAGACCAGAATAAGTCCTACTTAGACCTTCATGACCTTGACTCTACAAGAGTACAGGCCCATGATTTTCTAGAATGTTCCTGAATTGGTGTGTCTGATGTTTCCTTCTGATTGGATTTAGGCTTTCCATTTTTGGCTGTATCGTAGCAGTGATGCTGTGTTATTCTCATTGTATCTTACAAGGTGGTTAGTGACATCAATATGCCATGCCACCGGTGATGTTCACTCTGATCATTTGAGTAAGGTGATATTTGCCAGGTTTCTTCAGTATGAAATTACTGTTTTCCTCTTTATAATTGATAAGTATTTTGTAGGAAGAGACTTTGAGCCTCTGTAAATATTTATTTCTCATCTAAATTTCATTTACTAGTTTTAGCATCCATTTTTGTTTCTTGCCTGAATTATTACTTAAATGATTGTCAAGTGGTGATTTCTAAATGAGCTATTCCTTCTACATTTATAAGTTAGCATTCTCTGAGGAAAAGCTTTCCCTTCTCCCTATCTAATGTATTCATTCATATATTTCTATCACTGTGGGCTCATGGATTTCTCTTTTATTCAGTAAGGTATCATGTGCCATTATCATTATTGGTTGGATAGACTGATTGCCTTAGAACTGGCCGGGGGAAGCCTCTAAAGCTAGCTTCTGAAACACTCCCACCATTCCGAGACCACATCTGACATTCCAGACTTATCTTGTACTTTCTGTCCCAACCTGGATTCACCTATTTCTTTGAGATGCCTGGTTCCTGATATTTAGAAGCCAAGATCTAGACCCTTGGTGTGCTCCATGCTACGGGGGTGTTATGGTGGTCAGATCCTCCCAGGACATAGAGCCAGGAAATAGATGTAGGTGTATACCCATGGATGTATCTTAACACACACATACTTTTACTTCTCTATCTGTCTATCTATCTGTCTAGAACCATAAATTCACCCTGATACATTTAATTCCAAACAACATCATAGACTTTATTCTAGCTTTCCCCCTTTTCAAATTTGCAACTCTCTTTTCAGGCAGTGAAGAAGAACATGATTCCAATTAACCTCAATATATTTATTGGTTTGATCAGTCTACCCCTATGTAATAGTCGCCTGACTCTTCTGTTGGCCGGATGCATTGCATAAAACCCTCATCATAAATTCTTGCTACCATGTCAGCTAAATAAACCTTTGGCCTTGGTGTAAATACTTTCCATTGTCTGTTAGTCCGTTCACTTTCTGTTTGTCCCTCTGCATTTGAGTGTGCACATGCACACATACATACACTTGTATAAAACATTGGCAATTTAACAGGTAGGGAAACACTCTTTTACCCCATGGGAAGATGTAATTATAAATGGATATAATATGAATTAAATGACAGTATCTTCAATTAGTGAACAAGTTCAAGATTGTAGTGATAGAAACACCTATTTTCATTGATTTCAGGATGTAAATGCTCTTCAAATAACATCAATTTTAAAATGTAAGTTAATTCTTCCTTATTAAGAATCATCTACATGGTTACTTGCAATATATTTTTTTTTAAATACTCTAAATTCAGTAAGGGGTTTTGCAACTTTTGAAAGAAAATATGCATAAGGCTACTGGTTCTTCACAAAGGCAATTTTCTGTTTTTGTAAAACTATCCGAAAGCACAGGAGACTCACATGATGCGAGAGAGTTAAGAAACATATCAACAAATAACAACAAAGGTTTGCAGTCTGTTTGCATAAGGCAAATAGTATGCAAATAACTAAGCCAAACCTTTACATTAGGGGAGAGCAGTGTCTATATATTTGTAGAAAATGTATTGGAATGCACAGAGTTGCTCGACAACACATGGCCTTGCCGTATTTTTGTCAACATCTGAGGTACGGCTTTGCAGGGAGTTTGCTCGCCGGCTATGACTTTACTATTTCTCTCTGACATAGCTGTTGTTCAGTGGCTAAATTGCACTCTTCTGTGCTCCAGTATTTGCATTTACATTACAGACCACAGTGTGAAGGATGTTTCTTATTAGCGAAGCATCTATGTTGATTCCCCATTGCTCTGTGGTTTGTATCCCGATTATGAGAAAGTTTAAGACTCGACCTTGGCATGTTTATGAGCCCTTCTTCTTTTGTGTGTGCTTCTCAGGATTCTTTACGCAATGGATGGCCCAAGAGAGAGAGAGAGGACATCCTAAATACTGGAGGATCACAATTAACTGGAGAAGGGTGATTAATAGTTAGGCTCTTAAAAGCTACTCTGTCCTGCCAATATGCCTTCATCTCTGCTCCCAGTCATAGGGTTATGTTTACCTTTCAGACTGACTCACAATTAGAATATGGAGATTTTATGCCTGATGGTTTCATTCATTAATTCAAAGACTGTAATAGGTCCTTGACTTGTTTGGATTGAACTTTTGAACAGCTAGCAAATGACCTCAAGTATATTTTGCTCAGCAACAAATTTGAATCCCTCAGGCTGCATGGTTTGTGTGTGGGACCTGTCACCCACTCACCAGTGCATCAGTTGAGCCGACTGTCCTGGGTTTGCAGCTCAGACAGTGGTGCTCCTCCCTTCTGTTATTTCAGGGACAACCATGTGGAAAAGTGTATGCTTTGCAGTATTCTCCAATTTCAGCATTCATGAAGCTCTTCTGTCATCTTGCTCGCTCCCTGCATGCCTCCCTTCTTCTTCCATTCCTTTCTCTTGCCTAATAAGGCTCTTGCTCTTAAACCTATGGTTTTACATTCCACAGAATTTTTTCATTAAATTTTTTTCCTTATTCTTTCCAGGCAATGTTGCCTTTATGCTATACAGTCTTCAGCATCTATATTTCAATTAAAAAGAATCACGTCTATTCTTTTATAGGAGTTCAGTGCTCTCATCTCTGTTCTTGTCTGATACTTACTTTGGCTTCTGTTTTCATTGACAAAATTACCTGCAGCACTAGTTAGTTATGGTATAATAATATAATAATAGTTGGAAAGACCTGAACTGAAAATCAGCTCTGAAAACTACTAGTTGTGTTGGCACATACTTAAAACCGAGGGTCAATAGTACCTATTTTATCAACTCATTGTACATCTCAAAATAAATAATGTATTACAGTGCTCACCCCAAACCAGACATATAGTACAGAAGGGAAATGTTAGGAGAAATTCCACTAGGCAGGATCTTTGACTCTTATGGTCATAAGCACCTAATACAGTGCCTGGCATACAGTAAGTACTTAATAAATGCATGTCAGCTGTTGTCGTTTTACTTATATTGTCATAACTCTCATCTTAATGCTTTGAAAATTAAAGATAAGCAGGGTGCATATAAAACACATACTAAAGGATATGGTACAAAGTAGGTGATTTGGCTAGAATGGTATTTTTAGAGACATATCATCAGACAAATGATTGGTTAGCGTTCTTGGGAAAACATCTTCAGAAAGACTAAAGGTCTTTTGTTTTGTCCTTCTCAGGCATCCTATTTTCCCTGGTGGTGATGCTATATGTCATCTGGATCCAGGCAGTGGCTGACATGGAAGACTACAAAAACATGAAAATGAGAGACTGCTTGGAGTTCGCCCCTTCTGTTGTCTATGGCTGGTCATTTTTCCTGGCCCTGGCAGGGATATTTTTTTCTTTGCTAGCTGGATTACTGTTTCTAGTTATTGGGCGGCATATACAGATACATCACTAATCAAATCATTGCCACCAGCATTTTCTTGAGAGATTTTAGAACAGAGCATTTCTTTTTCATTTTGTTTTGGTGATCCCAGCATAGAATTAGTTGTTGAGCTGGTATTTGAATTTTGCTTTTACATTTTACTTGTGATTTCCTCTAATAGGAAGGTCCTAGAATATTTCCGGACATCCACATGTTTCCATCCTCTGTAGGTGCTATCAAGAACCTAGTTCTCTTAGGAGCAGGTAAGATGGGCCTCCCTTTCACTGCACCTGTTAGAGCTCATGCAGGTTACAAAGGCCTGATAATGGCATAACAACCCCCCCCCCTCGCCAGTGAAGCTTTGACTTAAAACTTCCTTCTTGACATTCACTTTTGCTGATATTTTAAAAACAAAACAAAAACAAAAACAAAAACAAAAACAAAAACAAAACAAAAAAAAAACTTTGGAAAATAATCAAAATGGAAAACAAGTGTTGTCAGAGAACTTCCTCCATTTCCTCTCCACACACATGCATCTCCACATATGCATTACTGCGTCTTGTAAGCCTATTATTTCTAACTTAAAAATAGATAGCAGTGTGCTTGTGGCAAGAACCAGGCAGACCCATTGGTTCAAATGGGCCACAACCAGACTGAGGATGCGTACTTATTCCACTCTCCGGCCAACAGGACTTTGGTCACCTAATCGTACTCCCTTAATTGTGCGTCCTTATATAAACCTTAAACTGTGTTTAAAAGTGACTCATCTGTACACCAAATTACATTTAATGCAGAATGGATTGTTAGGAGCTCAGTGGATTAATTGAAAATACGTAAAAACAAGGCACCTGAGCTTAGTACTTCATTCTGTTTGATATTTTAAAATTCCTCCTTAAAATTATATGCTAATATGTTCAGCATGTGAAAATTTATTGATGAAATGTGCTTTTAATGTGCACTAGCTATAAACTTTCAAAATATTTCCATATGAAATGATAATAGTCTTGCTTTATTAAAGACTATGAAATATTAACTTTTCCCAAAGTTTTATGGTAGTTCTTCTGATAATTTGATTCCATTTATTATTGTCTCTCAGTTTCTTCATCTTTACAACAGATATTTTAACATTTACAGATACACTAGTTTCTTCCTTTAACCTCTTGGAAGGAAACTTGGTGCTGGTTGGTGGATAATTCTTTCTTATTTGCTAGTGTAGACATGCAGACATTTTGCATATCAAAGATATTTGTTTGGCACTAATTTTGATTGAAATCAAATCCATCTGAGAAGCCCACACTGCATTTGCATTTTGGAAACCTCCCTGGAGGAGCAGTTTGGTGTTGATGAGGGAACAGAGAACCTGCATGGTATGCGAGCTTTGTTCTGGGCACAGCATTTTACTTTGCAGCTGTCGTGAATACCTAAGGCAGGACTCAGAGGAAAATTAACAGTGACCACCTAGAAGATGCTGGGGGAACGAGGGGCTATTGCTTTCCTTTCAGCCGTTCCCCTGACGGAGAGATTGCCTGTCTTCTGGACACATCTGTACCTTCCATTAACCTGTTTCCACCGGAGGGATTTCGAATAGCCACGCTCTGAGCTATCTACAGAATCTTGAGGGCATTTTAGTGTTTAGGGGTAGGGAGGATGAGCTTGTGATAAAAACAAAACACAAAAATATAAGACAAAAAAACAAAAGCGTCAGGGGTTTAACTGGTTTCTCAAGCCATCTGAGTTATAAACATTTTTTGTGGCACTCGCCTTTGTCTTTTTCTGTTTTCATTTTTATATTGCTCCATTTACTTCTTTGCTCTTGGCTTGATTATTAGAAAAATAATTATGGGTTCTGTTATGCATATTTACTGTGATATTAAGTTATGGCATGCCATTAAGTTTTCCAGCCGATGCTAGATGTATTTGATTAGTTCATGTCATCTGTAAATACAATTCCTTTTTGTAGATCTTTGGAATGGAGCCTTTTTTCTGGTGTATTATATGTCATTTAAATTTCACATACAAGCTGCTTTCAGTAAAGGTTTGAATATTTATAAATTTCAGATGGTTATCCTCATTTTCTAATACACTTATGCGGCTACCATATATATATCATAAGGCAATTGGCTGACTATCTGATGTGTATGACACTTTTACACAGATACATACTTTGGAAGTATTTCATAGTTGTAATGCATCAGTCACCTTAATTCAGATGCATTTCCTGATCCACTTACCAGCAATCCGTGGAAGGAGGGAAGGTGAGTTGTGCGTGCTGTGTCAATAAGTAAATATACTTGAAAATAGCAGAAATATGCAGTATATTCTTGTAACAGCCTTATGTCTGACTTAGGATAGTATGTGTGTCTCTGTTTGGTGTATTGACTAATTCTCAGAAGCTTCCAAATACTGTGTTAAAACCTTTTTTAAGAGAGTTGATTTTGCATCATGAAGTTTCAATGTAACACATAAGATATCTTTCTGGTGACATTCTGGAAGGAATGAAGTAAGAGGGCAGTGCGTTATGCCCTTGCATTTTGGGCAAAGCTGTGATCTTCCCATATTGTATTTGTATTTGTTAGGGTTTAGCCTATGCACTGGGACTAGCTGGAAAAACCATAGAGAGAAGCTAAATGATGATGTTCAATATAGGGGCTGCGGGTAGGACTTAAAAAAAATACCACTAGTATGCTATTACTGGCCAGTTAGTCACTTTTATGACTAATGTATGAAATGTATTTATTGAATTTGAATATTAAATCCACTTATAAAGGCATATGATGGATGAGATGTTAGCATTTGATTCTTAATCTGTTTATCATCAGCACATGCGTGTGTGTGTGTGTATGTGCATGTCTACCCAGAATTATAGACTTGGATAAAAGAGATAAAGTGAATGATAGAAATAAATATAATTGAGATAGGCAAAAATTTAAAAATCAGGGTTGGGGGACAGTCATAGAGTTTATGTCCCTGAGTACTACTTTAACCTGTTTGCCTCAACTGATGATGGTCAGTTCAGGTAAACACATAATTCGACTTACATTTTCATGAAAGAAACGAAATTAGGCTTGTAAAGAGGCTTAGAATGTCATTAAAGATTAGACAGATAGGGGATGCTAGTAAAAGTAAGCTGTACATACATCTTCAGGGGGGTAACATTATGGGGAAAGACCCATAGTGCTGGGGTTATATGGAAAGAAATATATTAAGAGGATGAGTCCCCAGTTTGATTTTGGTGGGATGCCACCAGGAATGAGGGGGCTCATACAGCAGAGATGAAATAGAAACTACATTTTGTTGATTGTCTGAGAACATTAAGTACATAGAGACATTTCCTCCATGATGACCGAGTGTAGGTTCAGAAATTCCAACAAAAACTTAAGAAGACAGTATATTTGATGTTAAAAGCCAAGGACGGTGGGTAAATATTAAACATCATGTATATTATCATGAACATAAAGCATGTACAGGAACATTTAACCTGGTTAGCAGGGTCGGAGGAAAAAAAGAACAAACCACCAACTTGGGGTTAGGGTTTCTGAGCTAGCTAACCAAGGCAAGTGCTAGGACCTCTGTCTTCACGAAGATTAAGATCAGCCTGGCCTGTCTGCAGGCGTGGGAAGTATTGGAGACAACAAGTCTGAAATGACAGTGGAGTACTAAAAAGAGGCCCACTTTGGCTTCTGAAGGGTCATGTTTCCCACTAGTGCATCGCTGTGATGGGGAACAATTGAAGAGGCAATTGGCTGATAGACTTTTATGAAATGATATGTCTTTGGATGTAGAGAATCATATGGCATGTCTAACCATTCTGTTCTATTTGTAAGGCATCTATAAGCAAATAAATTAGAATGATTTTGAATTCAAGTAACGATTTTTCTGATTTATACAAATGAAAGTGATAGTCAAAATTGGCTTTATGAAATAAGTGTGGTTGGAGTAATGGGCACTCTGTACTGACACTGAGTATTGTGTGGATAGTCTAGGGGAGTGGAGGCTCACTGGGATAAAATAAGTACACAAGCCACAAAAATTTTAATATTCCCATTCTTTTGGGAGTCCAGGAGTTATGGTGACGTAATTCACTAAAAACGTAAATAGTCCCCCCTTTACATGGCAGTTGTTTTTATTTTTCTTAGCATCTCTCTTTCCATTTATTCTAGACAGAGACTGCCACTGTTAAAAAATTTACCAGTGCTTACAGATTGGATTGTCTTTGAAAACTAGCTAAACAAATAGGTATTTGATTAATACAGCTTTAAAAAGAGTGCTATATAAAGCCTCATATTTTGGTGTGGTTTATATAGACACTATACGCAGTATTGATATATTGTCTTCACTCTCCCCAAATGCAAGACCTTTGTTTTTCTCAAGAATTTTATGGGTATATGTAAATGCCTAGAGAAATGTAAAACAGAAATTTGGATTAACATCTGTGTATGTGTGTGTGTGTTTGTGTGTTGTGAACATATACCCACATACCTATATGTGCTTATAGTTATGTATGTGTTGGAATTTATGCATGTATATATATATGGTTTTGGATAACAACACATATATATTTGTCAATAGACAGGTCTGAATATATATGCACATATATACATAATTCATGTGTGTTTATGAAAATATTTTGTACATATAAGGTATATATGTTTGTGTATAATAAATGCCTAAATTTATATCATATGTACATATTGCAAATATCTGTCTTATCTTGGGCGTTCCTGAGCTCTTAAGGCTTGCTGAAGGGGAGGGTGTATTTTATTTTTATGCTATTGCAAGCCTAGCCCAGCGATGAGTGAGGAATATAGGGGAGACTCAGTGAATGCTATCAGAGCCTCTCTTCCTTAGATCCAGGGCTTATGTGATGATGCATGTGGATGGGTTATGTCTGACCCTATGCATGCCTAATGGCAATGATCCTGCCTTTGAACGTCTTATAACAACTGATACCTAACCGTTAATTAATATTTATTCAATAGTAATAAATTTTGCCAGATAAAAGAATTCCTTTCTAAAGCAACATGCCTTGTTGA